ATTGACCAAGTTTCTCCCCTCTCAAAATCTAAATAACAAATGAGCCCATACTGTAAACCAATGTTTTAAAAACTGACCCGGAATCGAAAACGTTCTAGCCACCGGTTTCTGGGTTAACGGTTTGACCGTTCGATTTGAACGGATGGCTTGTTCTAACAAAAAAAGGGAAAAAATTAAAATAAAAAGCGGCCAAGAATGGGTTAAACGGGTCATTGACCGATTCAACGGTTTTTTGCCAAGAATAGGGTTTGGGGTAAAACAGTACTGATTGCTTGGATGGTTTCTGGTCCGAACGGTCCGACCATCTAGGTCAACAACAATTTGAAAACATTATTGTAAACCATTCATATGAGATAGTAAATTTAAAGTTGGGATCTCCTATCAACAAAACATGTCCCAACAACCTACTAACATGGTTTGGCACCGCATATCTCACCTTAAGACTGGGACCCACTATAAAAGTGGGACATGTGTAGTGTCATATGACGTTGGGAGGGTGTTGGAACATATGCTATTGGCAGGTGATCTAGACTACTAAATTTTTAGTAGGGACTCTATGGGTTTTGAAAAGTTGGGATAAGTTTAAGAGAAATGATAAAAGTTAAAGGGAGGGAGTTCTTGGTAATCCATAATTCCATATACGTATAATAAAAATGATAGTTTCACGTTTTTTATTTCATCCATAATGTAATTTTGGCTCAGTTAGGAAGGAGTATAAATACATACAAAATAATACAAAATAAGAGGCTTTGCACTCTACATATTTGTATTTGTATTCCTTCCAAACTGAGCCTTTCCTTTTTCCAACATTTACCCCTATAACCTTTTTATTTCTCTTTTTTATTTACACATATAACTAATACCCTTAGTTTTACGCTCTCTTTTCTCAAACATATAATATTGGTTTTCTAATTTTATCCTTTAAATTACAAAAGTAATGAATTACACTTTTCCCCTTTCATATTTGTTATTGAATTTCTAATTATTTACGGTCATGCAGCCATTTAAATGAAAAACAATGAATTTTATCTCTTTCATTCTTCTACCCTTATTATTTTCATCTTTTTTCTCGACTAATATTTAGGATTATAAATAGGTTGGGTTTAGTTCAGGATAGCCTGCCACTCTGGTTCCAATAAACTTTACTTATTCATTTATTTATTTTATTAAATTAAATAAATTATTATATATAGAAGTTTACTTATTTAATTTACTATTTATTTTATTATTTAGAAATAGTTTACTAATAAATTATTATTAGCCTAATATTTGGATTTGTCAATGGGCCGGGTTTAGTTCAAGAAGTTTGTTCCAATTCCATCCCAATAAACTTTATTTATTCATTTATTTATTTTATTAGATTAAATAAATTATTGTTTATAAAATGTTATTTATTTAACTTACTAATTATTTATTTATTTAGAGATAATTTACTAACAAATTATTATTAACCCAATATTTGGGACTATCATTGGTAGGGCTGTCAACGAGTCGGGTCCAGGTAGAATTGAAACCGATTCGACAAGAATTATCAAGGACTTAGAACTGATAGCATCGAACTAATCGGTTCTCGGGACAATCAAGTCTGACTTGATGGACTAGATTATAATAAACCTATTGAAAATATTATATATAATATTAATTTATTTAGTATATATATATATTTATATGAATCGATTTGGGTCTAGATGGAACTAGATTTGACTTGATAAGAATTGAGACAATATATCAAGAACTAGAACTAACCCAATCGGTTTAGGTCCACCCGACATTGACAGCCCTAATCATTGTGTTGGGTTTGGTTTGGAATAGCTTGTACCAGTCCTATCCCAATAAACTTTTATTTATTTGTTTGTTTATTTTATTAAATTAAATAACTTATTATTTATAAAATTTTATTTATTTAATTTACTAAATTATTTATTTATATAGAAATTATTACTATTTAAGGTCATGCCACCATATAAAACAAAAAAAATGAAAGTCATCTCTTTCTTCTCTCTCCACTTAATTTTTTACTCTAAGCTCTCTCTCTCTCTCTCTCTCTCTCTCTATTTTCCCCCTTAAGCCCAATATTCAGGATTGTCAATGGGTTAGGCTTGGTTTGGGATAGCATGTACCAGTCCCATCCCAATAAACTTTATTTATTTTTAAATTAAATAAATTATTATCTATAAAATTTTATATATTTAATTACTAAATTATTTGTTTAGTTAGAAATATTTTATTAACAACTTATTATTAACCCAATTTTTAGATCTATCAATGGGTTGGTCTGGTTTAGGATAGCATGTAGCAGTCCTGACCCAATAAACTTTTATTTATTCATTTATTTATTTTATTAAGTTAAATGAAGTATTACGTACAAAATTTTATTTATTTAACTTAATAAATTATTTATTTGTTTAGAAATAATTTACTAACAAGTTATTACTCCATACCCATCCCCGTTGGCAAGGACAAGGTTATCCCCATCCCTATCCTTACAAAGATTCCCACTCCTTGTGCTTTTTCTATGATGTTAATCATTTTATTTTTTATTTCATAAAAATTAAAATATAAATCATTAAAATTAAAATATAAATCATTAAAATTTATAAAAAAAATTTAATTAAAGTAGTTAGAATTCACAAGCTCCTATTAAAAAGATCAAAATATATCCAAACATATTCATATATATAATATATATATATATATATATATATTTATATAATCGTTGCTATATTAATTTCCTAGAGAAACAACATGTTTTATTTCCTCGTTGTATATATTGTTATTCTTATTTATTCTTAATCGATCCCATTTGTACCTTTCTAGCTATAAAGGGAAAGCTCTACGAGAAAATAAAAAGTAAAAGATAAATAATACTTACTCAACTAACAGAAGTAACTATCCATATTATTGATAATTATTAATTAGAATAATGGGCTTTTTATAAAAAATAATAAAATATGATAAAATGGCAAAATCATATATGTTTACATAAAAATTTAAAAAAGAGTGATAGCAACAAAAAGTTAACTTTTTTTGGACCAAAATGTCCTTTCTTAAATTCCCTCTTGAAATTTGAAAGCAACTACTCATCATCACTGTTCATTGTCTCCTTCGCTTGAATTTTAATATTCATTGTCGTCTCCCCAGAACATCACCAACAATGGTAGCAAACAAAAATTGAAAAACAAAATGGCTCTTTAATGTGAAATGCCCTTTTTTATGTAAGCGTTAATGTTCGATGACATCGGTGAGAATTTGCAGAGCAGAAGAAAGTGAGAACTTTCTCCGAAGTCTTGCTGTTGGCATTTCTTCCTTCGTGTCTTTCTCTGGTTAACATTAAACATGTCTCTCTTCCAAACCCATTTCGAGCTCATGTCGAATGGATAAGTTGAAGTTCCCACCTCCATTAACTAGGTTTCTAAGAAGCAATGGAGGGAATAGAAGTAGAGGTAGGTCCTTCGCCAGACCCCTGTTCGTGAGAAAGAAGAATACGACCATCAAAACCCAGGAGTCCTCTTCACCGTACCGAAGGTCACCTATATCAGGCAAATCCACATTAGAAGGTCCAAGCAAGCTGCGTCTAAGCTTGGATGCACTGGTACCGCTTCTAAATGCTGGTGCCATTAAATCTGGGATGCTTTGCTTTGTAAGTTGTAACTATATTGTTAAAAGGCCGAAACCCAGAACTTGCTTTTCCAATTAAGTTATCGGAGAAAGGTTGAAGTCGTGGAAGATTCAATGAAGAGAGAACCCAAGCTAGAGGATTCAAAAAAAGAATACGATTCAGAAGAAGATGATGAAGCCAAGGTCTTTGTGTCTTCTTCTCCGTTGAAGAACGCTTTACTGCTTTATGAGATGCAGATTTGAGCCGTTGTTCAGTGGAGGGAGACAATGAACAATGGTAACGAACAGGAGGGAGACAATGGAAAGTTGCGTCTGGAGGAGGGAGACAATGAACAATGGTGATGAATAGGAGTTTGGGGCATTTTAGTCCAAAAAAAACCTCTCCCGCATACTGTTTTGGTTATTTTTTTGAAACGTGCATATGGTTTTCTTAAATGATCATAATTCATCATTTTTTTTATGTAAAAAGCCCTAAAATAATTATAACGTAATCAATTATTCAAGTTGTAATAATCTTTGTATATTATAATTAAAAAATTTTAAATTTTCATAATGTGATTTTTTCTTAATTCTATTTTTATTTGTTTCATATTAAATAAATTTTACTAATACATATATTTTTAATATGCACATGCTCTTCTGCTAATAACCGAAAAAATACTAATTTTTCATGACGAATTACTACTACCATCTATTTTTCTGTTATTTTTTAAGGACTTATACTATTACTACTACCTTCTATTCATACAATTTTCATAACTAAATAAAATATAATATTTTACTTAAAAAACCAATTTAATTACAATTTTAACATAGCAATAGATTAGTTTCAATTTTTTTCCCGGTATCAAAGTTGAAACCAGTACCTTGTATTTAAAACAGAAACCTGGATTGCTTTTACTGATGATGTGGCTAATAGTTTAAAGAAGCCAACTAATTTTTAACACGTGTTTGTTTGAAGAGTAGTCAGCTCGAAAATTCCATAATCCAATCTTCTATGATAGTAGAACAACCATCAGCCGTTAGATTTGCTAGTATGATCCTTGAACTGTTGCCAGCGCCAACAGTTTTTCCACACGCGCGTCCCAGGGCTAGGGCCCACCTCACCGGTCACCGCCTTAGCCTCCGTGCGGCTCGTTCGAACAGTCTTTAAAGCCTTTCATCGGGAACATTTCCATATTTCTATACTTTATTTCATTAACAGATATTCTCAATACAAGGCTATAATAACTGTTCGAACGTGTTTTGCACTGACTGGAATCCGGTTTCCTCACTCAGCCCCTGGACCAACCGCCTCTGTCGATCCAGGAAGTCTTTAACCTACGCACTCCGTTAACTAGCCCCATCTTCACTTCTCCCTATATAAGTCCATGTTTCATCCATTCACGGGGTATTTTGCTGCGGAAGAACCCCCCTCTTCTTTCATCGCTTCGACGGGGTTTTCCTTTTCCACACAAAACCAATTTACCCGGCAAAACGAAATCTTGCATAAATTTAAAAGAAATGGGTTAATAAACAAGCATTCGAACATTTGTGCACTAAGACAATACTGATTTGAAGCTCCCAGAGGATCAAACATCTAGGGTTTTTGATTCGCGTTCACTGAGAAATTAGGGTTTCTTTCCGAAAATGTACGGCGGAGACGAGTATGATCCCTCAATGAACGATGAGGACGAAGAGATCACTCAGGAAGATGCCTGGGCGGTGATCAGTGCTTACTTCGAGGAGAAAGGTCTCGTGAGGCAACAGCTCGATTCCTTCGATGAATTCATCCAGAACACTATGCAAGAAATTGTTGACGAGTCTGCCGACATCGAGATCCGTCCCGAGTCACAGCACAACCCCGGTCGCCAGTCCGACTTCCTTGAGGTTAGACATCGGTTCTTTCTTCAGATAGAAACTTAATTTCTAGGGTTTTTACCAGTTTGAGGTGTTTTCAATTAGTATAGATGTTCAATTGGAAAACGTATATTTGATTGGAAAACAAGATGTGGTGATTTTAATGGAACTTATTTTGGCCACCATTCCTAAAGACAATACTCATGGTCGTTTGATGCAGACTATATACAAGATTAGCTTTGGTCAGATATACTTGAGTAAGCCCATGATGACGGAGTCGGACGGTGAAACTGCAACCTTGTTTCCAAAGGCGGCAAGGCTGAGGAATCTGACCTACTCGGCCCCATTGTATGTGGATGTCACCAAAAGAGTAATAAAAAAAGGGCATGATTGTGAGGAAGTCACTGAGACTCAGGAATTCGCCAAGGTCTTCATTGGGAAGGTATTGATATTTCCAGTTCCCAAGTGATAATTAATAATATATGAACTAGTCTATGTGCTTATTATGTACTAAATTTCAGGTTCCTATAATGCTCCGATCAAGTTACTGCACTCTGTATCAAAATTCAGAAAAGGATTTAACAGAGCTTGGGGAGTGTCCATATGATCAAGGTGGATACTTCATCATTAATGGAAGTGAGAAAGTTCTGATTGCTCAGGAGAAAATGAGCACCAACCATGTCTACGTGTTTAAGAAGAGGCAGCCCAACAAGTATGCCTATGTGGCTGAAGTCCGGTCTATGGCGGAATCGCAAAACAGGCCACCCAGCAGCATGTTTGTTCGGATGCTTTCTCGGACAAGTGCCAAAGGGGTTAGTTTCTCTCTAGCATATCTGGCATTGTCTTTCCCTTTTTTCTCTATAATGTTTGAATTATTTGTTAATCCATTTCTTTATGTTTGGATGTGAGTTCATTTTACCTCATGTTGCCATATCACATCATTTTACTGCAGGGATCTTCAGGACAATATATACGTGCTACTCTTCCATATATCCGGACGGAAATCCCTATAATTATTGTGTTTAGGGCTTTAGGATTCGTTGCTGACAAAGATATACTGGAGCACATATGCTACGATTTTTCTGATACTCAGATGATGGAATTGCTACGCCCTTCTCTGGAAGAAGCATTTGTGATTCAGAATCAACAAGTACATATCCCTCCCTTTCCTTTTCTTCCCCCCTCTTCAAGTTTTGAGTAGGGTTCATGATTTAATGGAGCATTTTAATTCCTCTTTTTGAATGATGTACATGAAATTTGAGCTTTTCAAGTTTTAAGCTGCACTTTTTTCTAGGTCAAAATGTAATTCTCCTATAGGCCCAGAGTGGTAGATGAATATTGGCTTACTTCATCCTGTAGTAGAATAACTAACTTGACATGTCTCTGTGTGCTCTGTTTCTTTTTGTAGGTTGCATTGGATTACATTGGGAAAAGAGGATCTACTGTGGGTGTGACTAGGGAAAAGAGGATAAAGTATGAATTAAATTCTCTACTTTTTCCCCCTCTATCAGTTTTGCATTTTTCACAAAGTTGCTCAAAAACTTTTGCTTATTTTGCAGGTATGCTAAAGAGATTCTTCAAAAAGAAATGCTTCCACATGTTGGTGTTGGGGAATATTGTGAAACAAAGAAAGCTTACTATTTTGGGTATGTGCCTTTTCCAGACAGTAGATATTGTTCGTGTTGCCATGGCTGCAGAATCATATTCATTGATTATCACACGGTTTCTTGATAGGTATATCATCCATCGTCTTTTGCTTTGTGCTCTTGGACGAAGAGCAGAAGACGATAGGGATCACTATGGTAACAAGAGATTGGACCTTGCTGGTCCCTTACTTGGGGGCTTGTTCCGAATGGTTTGTTATTCATGTTGTTCTTTTGGTTGTTCAAATTAAAGTTCTGGCATTTTGCTTTCTGATTGTGATAGTTTCTTTGTGGTATATTTGCATTTTACAGCTTTTCAGAAAGTTGACTAGGGATGTGAGAGCATATGTTCAGAAGGTTCCCTTTTCTGTCCCTTGATGAGTTTAGCCATGCCAGTTCTTTTCATGAGTTCTTTTTGAGCTTACGTATCTTCATGGAACAGTGTGTCGACAATGGCAAGGATGTTAATTTGCAATTTGCAATCAAAGCAAAGACTATCACTAGTGGTCTGAAGTACTCCCTTGCCACTGGAAACTGGGGTCAGGCAAATGCAGCTGGTACAAGAGCTGGAGTTTCACAGGTTAGAGTTGTGTTTTTATTTTTCTTGATTATGTAAACATGTATTCTTGTTTGAGTTGAGGTTTGATTCGGTATAGATTTGTCTGTGCTAGGTTTTGAATCGCTTGACGTATGCTTCTACACTGTCTCACTTGCGAAGGCTAAACTCTCCAATAGGGCGCGAAGGTGAAACTTTTAGTTCTTTCTAGCATTTGGGTTCATGTTGTTGGTGATGTTTTCCTATCCTATCTTTATTCCTCCTTTAATCATGTTCTGTTTCTTCTTTAATCAGGGAAATTGGCAAAGCCCAGGCAGTTGCACAACTCACATTGGGGGATGATGTGCCCTGCAGAGACACCAGAAGGGCAGGTAACTGTGCTTCACTTTTCTTTTTGATCAATATATTTCACATTTGCACAATTATGTTATACTTCCATTGGCATGTCAGAAGGAAACGGTTTAGAGAACAATATTCTATAAAATTTAGTTTCAATACGTTTTATCTGGTGGATTTTTCTAGGCTTGTGGACTGGTGAAGAATCTGGCACTGATGGTGTACATCACTGTTGGATCCGCAGCAAATCCTATCCTGGAATTTTTAGAAGAGTGGAGTACTGAAAATTTTGAGGTTATCTATTCTACTTATTTATTATTATCATATGAAAGTTGCCTGACTTGATGTGAAGTTACATATCCTGATAACTTTTAAATTTTTAATTTTTTTCTTCATAGGAAATATCTCCTGCAGTTATTCCTCAAGCAACAAAAATTTTTGTCAATGGTTGCTGGGTTGGCATTCATCGTAATCCTGAGCTTTTGGTGAAGACACTGAGGCAGTTAAGACGGCAGGTCTGTACTCTATTTTCTTTAAATGCCACAAACTGAAAGTTTTGTCACCACGAACCTGCATGTTTCTTTCTTCTACAATGCAATGTGTAAGTTCGTTATCTGTGTTTAGTATTCTTTTTTCCAACCGCCTTTTCTTGTCATTTCATCATCACTTATAAGTGGTATCAATTTTCCCTTTTGTTGTTTCACCTCTATTTATTGATTGGGTTTCTTTTCACATTTAGACAATTGCATTACTGAGCCTGCTCAAGTCTTTTGGCAGTCATATATCATAGGTATCCTGAAATTGTTAATCATATGTTGTGCAAGAATTAACTCTTATGGGACTTGTTTTCATTCAAAAGGCATGCACATCATCCACTACATTTTCTTTAGGGTCCTTGCAACATCTATACACGTTCTTTTTTCCATCTAAGATACACTTGTATTCATTTTGTGTATGCACAAACTCAGAGACACCTTCGTTCCATGATAATAGAAATTCATGCATCTAAGTTCAAACTTTCTGTTTTGATAGATAGGTTTGAGCTTTCTCCAACCTGCATATTCCATAAATGATTTTACCCTGCTAAGAACTGGAATTGCCCATCTTTTGCAGGTTGATGTCAACACCGAAGTTGGAGTCATCCGAGATATCCGTTTGAAAGAATTACGACTTTATACTGACTATGGCCGTTGCAGTCGTCCTTTGTTTATTGTGGAGAAACAAAGGCTGCTGATAAAGAAAAAGGACATTCGTGCTTTGCAGCAAAGAGTCAGTATAATTTGATAAATGACTTCTCTTGGGTTTAACATCTATTACTTGTATATGTAATGCTTTCTTTCCTTTTTCTGTCATTAACAGGAATCTTCTGAAGAGGGTGGATGGCATGACCTTGTTGCTAAGGGATTTATAGAATATGTAGATACAGAGGAAGAGGAAACAACAATGATTTCCATGACTATTAATGTGAGTATCCAACAGGTGTTCCACTTCTGTAGCAATTTTTTCTTCTGTCTTGGTCAAAACTAGGTCATTCTGTAAGGAACAAATAAAATCTTGATATTCTAGACTCTAGATTATATAGTTTTTTCACTTCCAACAAATGTATACTGATTGCTGTTCATATAACTCATTATTCATTACAGGATCTTGTAACTGCAAGGCTTAACCCGGAGGAAGCATATTCTGAAACTTATACCCATTGTGAAATCCATCCATCATTGATATTGGGTGTTTGTGCTTCTATTATTCCATTTCCTGACCATAACCAGGTTGGTTTGTTATCGGTATATTTTATGAATTATTTTTATTTTGCTTCCCCCTCCCTTTCAGGGTTTCTCTTATTTTTTTTCTTTGCAACATAATGCAGTCTCCACGTAATACGTACCAATCGGCAATGGGCAAGCAGGCCATGGGAATCTATGTCACAAATTACCAATTACGAATGGTATGCCTTTTGTTTCTTGTCTATTCTTGTTTTCATGTATCTATTGTTGACATTCTTCTTTTACTAATCACTCATTCTTTGCTCTAAATCCAGGACACTTTGGCGTATGTGCTTTACTATCCCCAGAAACCTCTTGTTACAACTCGTGCCATGGAACACTTGCACTTTAGGCAGTTGCCTGCTGGCATTGTAATATTTTGTTTATATCTTAATTTCCTCTACATTCCCTGTTCACTGTTACAAGTGTACTGACTGTTAACTGTGTCAATGGTCTTTTGAAAGAATGCAATTGTTGCCATTGCCTGCTATTCTGGGTACAACCAAGAGGATTCTGTTATTATGAATCAATCTTCAATAGATCGTGGGTTCTTCAGATCATTATTCTTCCGTTCATATAGGTAACTGAGTCTATAATGGTTTTAACTATTGCATTGCTTTTTAAAGCCACTAGTTTCTCCTTCTTGTTCTTTTTCCATTATTATATTTGTTTCACCAGCTATTATAAAATTGACTGTGTTTGTTATACAGGGATGAAGAGAAGAAGATGGGAACACTTGTTAAAGAGGACTTTGGGCGTCCAAGCAGGGAAAATACCATGGTGAGTGCTAATATAAATCATAGATTTGGTTCTTTGTTGATTTGGGGTAACTTTGTATTAAACTCAATCATGTTTTACAGGGGATGAGACATGGGTCTTACGATAAATTGGATGATGATGGTCTTGCACCACCTGTGAGTATGCTAGAAAACCTTGTAGAATGACTTTGTGCCTTTCATGGCCTGGAAAACTAATCACCTAACTTTAAACACAATTTATGCTTGTGGATTAGGGCACAAGGGTCTCTGGTGAGGATGTCATAATTGGGAAGACAACACCCATTGCTCAGGATGACTCTCAGGGGCAGTCTTCAAGGTATACAAGGCGTGATCACAGTACAAGCCTTCGTCACAGTGAAAGTGGAATGGTAGATCAGGTAACTACATAATCTTCTAGATATGGTTTCTTTTTTCTAAATCAGATTCTTGATTTAAGCAGGTTGGTTTGATTTTATGTCAGGTGTAGGTGGTGAAAATAGAATTATGCATATGCGTGTAGTGATTTTTTGCAGTTCCCAAACCTGCACTTAAGTTGATGTCTCAAATGTTGTGGTGGTTTTGTAGGTTTTGTTGACTACAAATGCTGATGGCTTAAGGTTTGTGAAAGTAAGGATGAGATCAGTTCGGATACCCCAGATTGGGGACAAGTTCAGCAGTAGGCATGGTCAGAAGGGAACTGTTGGCATGACATACACACAGGAAGATATGCCATGGACTGTGGAAGGCATTACCCCTGATATTATTGTGAATCCACATGCTATTCCTTCTCGAATGACAATTGGTCAGCTTATTGAGTGTATCATGGGAAAGGTTGCTGCTCACATGGGAAAAGAGGGAGATGCTACTCCTTTTACTGATGTCACAGTAAGTTGGACTCTTGCTCAGATCTAACGCATGATCATGATGACTTGTATTGCAAGTTAGTTTCTTAAAACCTAATATATTTGATTGTGTTTAATGTTGCTATTGTGAAATGAATACAAACCTGCAGATGAGTAGGGCTGTCAATTGGGCTGGATTTGGTCTAATCCAATCCAGTCCAATGTGAAACCATTACAAATGGACCAGGTCCAATCCAATCCAATGAATATTTTGGACCAGTCCAATTTAATGTCTGGACTGTCCAATCTGTTTGAATTCGTTTTAATTTAGATAGGTTTCAACTCGAACCTGGTCCATTGATACCTATCTTCTTATATCAATGGACCAGATATTGGCTCAATCCAATCCAATCCAATAAATACTTTGGACCATCAAGTCTGCATTGGTCCAAATATGTTTTGTTGGTTTGTCCAATCCATCCAAATTGATTTTGGTTTGGACAGGTCCAATCCAAAACCAGTCCATTGACACCCTTACGGATGACAGACTTGCTACTCGCTAGATAGGGTTTCATATGTATGATTTGACTTGTGGATAACTTGTCCTTGAAATTCAGTTTTAAAGCCTTCTCAAATTTCTAATCCATAAAGTAAGGGGGATGGTGAACTTTTGTCTGATTTTATGTAGTAGCAGTCCAATTAGAAGTATTAAGTGGATGGTGATTGGTGACCTGAAAACATTGGTGCAAATACGACGCCTATCTGAGTCTCTGTCCATTTGCTAAGGTTCTGTTTTTGGTTCCACATTTGCTTGGGTTCTCATTGTGTTTGTTTTGGTTCAATTGATGAATATTGTAATGCTTATCTTGAATGGATAAAACATGCATATGAAAAAACCATGCATAGCAAAATTTTGAGTGGGCAATGACCAGTTTTAGGACTAGAACAATTGAAGACGGCAATCCTCCTGACTGGGTCCCAAGTCAGCTCCTAGTCCATTTTGAATCGATAGGTTATATTTCAACCACCATAGAATGTAGCTGCCTTCGATCAAATTTCATGGTAATCCTGGTTTGGTTTATAACAATCTGAGTTCTTATACATTCAGGTGGACAACATCAGTAAAGCCCTTCACAAATGTGGGTACCAGATGCGTGGTTTTGAGACCATGTACAATGGTCACACAGGCCGGAAGTTGACTGCTATGATATTCCTGGGTCCCACTTACTACCAGAGGTTGAAGCACATGGTGGATGATAAGATCCATTCACGAGGGAGGGGGCCAGTGCAGATTCTCACCAGGCAGCCTGCTGAAGGACGGTCTCGTGATGGTGGTCTCCGATTTGGGGAGATGGAACGAGATTGTATGATTGCTCATGGGGCTGCACACTTTCTCAAAGAACGATTGTTTGACCAGAGTGATGCCTACAGAGTTCATGTATGTGAGCGTTGTGGGCTGATTGCCATTGCCAACCTCAAGAAGAACTCATTCGAGTGCAGAGGTTGCAAGAATAAGACGGACATTGTTCAGGTAAAGACTGCTAAAGCTTATTTTTGTCCTGTGCTGTCCTAGAGTTGGGAGTAATTTTAGGTCTCTCGTGGTTGTTGAGTCCATGGTTCTGCTATTCTCTGTAGGTAACATGTTATTGTCTGGTGTGGTTTTTATGCAGGTACATATACCTTATGCTTGTAAACTGCTTTTCCAAGAGTTGATGTCTATGGCCATTGCCCCTCGGATGCTGACAAAGGAAGTGAAGCCATCCAAAGATCAAAAGAAGAAAGGAGCTTGACTGAAAAATCTTTAACCTCAACTTTGTTCAACCTGTATCAACTGGTTTAAAGTAGTCATGGGAATTTCGAAGCTAATCTAGTTGTTCCGAGTTGAAAGCCAATGGCATTGGCTACATTACAGCAACTCCAGGGAATGAGGAGATCACATGGAAGCCAACACATAATGCGATGAGAACCAAGTATACATTGGCGTCTCTGTTGATGGGTGGGAGGAAGTGGAGATCAACCACTCTGGTACAACATCGCGGACAATAGATTTTGGGTGTTTCCATTTGGCACGACACTTGAGCATTTGAAAAGAACTGAAGCATGTTGTTGGTAGTTGAAGCATGGGGCAGCCCTGTTGAGAGTTCTTGTTTATGTATATGGGACTACACAAGGGATTGCTTTGCCATGTAGAGGAAGGAGAACTTGTCTTATTTATCCCAAGAGTTGGGAGAAAAAGACGGTTGCTACCGAACTAGTTGCCGAATGCTATTGTATCAGTGACCTTTGCCGCTATTTACTTTGATTTAGATGGCCATCTAATCTAACATCATAAGTTGCGGGTCCCAATTGGACCGTGTTGTGTAGTTGCATGTTAGGTTACGGGTTCAGTTTTAATTGTAATGATTTTATTGTATTATTAACATTTGCTTGAAATTTCTGCAACTGGCGGTTTTCTGTACAAGTTTCTTTTGTGGATTGTGCAAGTATTTGATGTCGATAGCATAATTATTTATTCGAGTTTTCCGGTGTTATTCCGCAAGGGGTGCCGTACAAACTAATGGAAATGCACCAAAGTCCGAAGTTACTCAAATTACCTGAAAGGCAATTTATTAAAAAAAAAACTTCAACAATAATAAATAAAAGGTTTGATGATTGTAAATAAGGCTCGGTTTGGAAGGACATACAAATATGTACCGTGTAAAATCTTGTATTTTGTATTATTATGTATATATTTACTCTTTTCAAACTGAGCCTGTTTTTCTTTTTTCACTCAAGAAGGCTTAGTTTGAAGGAGTATAAATACATACAAAACAATACAAAATAAGAGGTTTTGCACTTGACATTTGTATTTGTACTCATTTCAAACCGTGTTTGGTTGTAGTGCAATTTTATTTGCATTAGTACAAATGTATGGAGTGCAAATAAAAAAAATACAAAAGTTTGGTTTAATTTGTTTTGGGTTTTATTTTATTGTCTTATTTTATTTCATTTATATTGTGATCAAACAAAGTAAGACAAAATTTGAGACAAAAATAAATCAAAATTTGCATCTAAATCATTTGTACTACCATAATTTTGTATTAGTGCAAATAAATTTGCAATGCAATCAAACACAGCGTAAACTTTTTATCACACGCTTTAGTCTCGGAGTATGGTGCAATTTTAGTAATTTTCAAAAATGCTTCCCATAAAAAACCTTACCCATTTAACAAAGTTATATAAGAAGATTAACAATTCACAATGTCTTATTGTCCGTGTATATCAATCAAAAAAATGTCTAGTCTATGTATTAGCAATAAGCCAGTACGGTTTGAATAAATCTATGTATGGGCAATAAGCCAATTCACAATGTCTTATGGGTTGGCTTGAATTGAAGTTGGGGTTAAAGGTAGGGTTGAAAAATATAAATCTAAATTAACTTCGAAACATTCTTAGTCTCCTTGTCTAATAGATCAAGTGGTGATGAGGGCTGGTTGTGGACATTAGAGTGTAGGGGTATTTTTTCTGTAAGATTTGCCTACACTCTTTGGTGTAGGGCCTGAAGCGTTATGTCCTTTTGGGTGTAACAATATTGAACCATCAGAACATTTAGTTTGATTTTGTTCATTTTTTAGAGCTATTTGGTTTGAGTCTTTTTTATATCTTGGAGACCGGATCAACCTTCAAATTTAACTGTTGCTAAATGGATTCGAAGTTTTGTAATTGGTGCACAGAGTCATGATGTCTTACCTGATTTTCATGACTATTGTGTTGTGAAAGATTTGGAAAGCTTATAGTCATAACAAATGCATTTTCCAAGGGTATTTGGCTCAGCCCATGGATGCACTTCAGAATGTGCATCCTTTCTGAGGAATGACATAATATTCAACAAACAGCAACACAGAGGATGTTGAAGGTGTGTAAGCATATGACTATTCTCTCTTCTTTAAAGCATTGCTCAGTGTTTCATCATTAGAAAATCTGTGTGATAAATGACAATCTCAACGTGATTACTGCCTTGCAAAGGACATTGCTCTCTTCATCATGGGCTGCTCAACCAGTTATATATGACATTAAAAATGTTGCTGCTAATTTTGATGATTTATGTTTCTTTCATGTGCATAGATCTTTAAACTTGATTTATCATACTTCGGCTACAAAGTTTTGGGGATTTCACCATGAATTAGTTTAGAACTTTGGATTACTCCTCCAGATGTACTCCTTCGACTTTTTTAGCAATTGAAATTTTAATTGCACCAAAAAAAACTTTGGATTTGATTAGGGCTGAAACATTAATCAACCTGACCCAAACGAAAATGCTACATGTCTTTGCATTTGTATTGAAGTTTGGGTTAAGGGTTGGTTGAAAAAAATAAATCCGACTTAATTTTGGATTTGGTTAGGGTTGAAGCATTAACCAACCTGACCCAACCGAAATGCAATATGTCTTTGTATTTGTATTGTATAAATATCATATGCATGCATGCAATTATGTATTTATGAATTCATGTATTCATATTTATGTAATTATGTGTATGCAGTTTTGCATGTATGAAGGCATGTATCCATGTATATGTATAGTGCTCATCAATGGGTTGGATTGGGTATGGGACCTAATAAGGAAATGTGTAGAACAACACCCAATCCCATAGTCGTTAGAGTAATAAATTTGGACATCATAATATAATAATACTATTAATATACAATGAGAGTTCTAGTTGAGGGTATCTTAGGTGATGTTTGGTTTCGTGGGCATTTATTGAAAAAATATTGTTACATCAGCATCATGTGTATTGGCATTTATTGCATATGAAACTACTGTTTGGATTTTTACCATTTATTAAATAAACACTGAAAAATTGAAATGTTTTGATTTTTGTGCATGAGGCATTTGGAGAAACATCAAAATTTTGTTTTCCATAACGTTTCGGTATTTCTTAAAATGAACTGTTTATGTGGCACACTTTTATGGGGTGTTAATCTGAGGTGGAAAGTAAAAAATGTTTAAAATAATGTCCAACCAAACAACAAAAGTTAGAAACATTTAGGCCCCATTCACGTTTTGGTAAATTACTTACTTGGGTAAATGCAGTTATCGGGGTAAGTTTTTCTTGAAAAACACTTTCCCGGATAAATACATTTACCCATGTTCTTTTATTTCTCATGTAAATAAGGAAATGACCATTTTAGCCATAAAGATCCATTATTAAAAAGGGTATTTTTGTCCCATTCAAGTGTTGGCAACTTTCCCCCTAGGTGAGAAAGTGATTTACCCACTTAGGAGATGAGATTCACTGGTCCCCACATAAATATGAAAAAAAAACATGAGATTCTTGGCCAATGGGAACCAAAATCCCATTGACCAACTTTCCCTCTTTTCAAAATCCGAAAAAAATGCCCCTTAAAGTAAAAATGTTTCAAATAAAAATTGTATATATAAACATTTAAAGCAATAAATAACCCATTTATAAATACCCGCAAAACCACACATATCTTTAATGTCCTCATCCAATTATACACCAAATACGGGTGCGAGTTGGATTAGCCCAAAAGCTTTGGGCTTGGGCTCCGAGTCGGATGACAAAAGCGCAACCTGAGAAGTGACTTCAACACGGCTGCTCACACCTTGAACTCTATCTTTTTTTTTTTTTTACCAAAAAAAAGGAAAAAAACTGTTTTTTTGGATTTTATTAGTTGACGTGTTATTTCATTTATCAATATAGTTAGGGAAAATTTTCGATCGGTACCTTATAATTTGGGCCTAGTGTCACTTTGGTCCTTAAACATTAAAATACGACGATTCAATACCCGAACTTTCAAAATGTGCCAATCCAGTACCTGCCGTTAACCAGTTGTTAAGTGGCATTTGAAAAGATGTAAATGCTCTTCAAGTGTCATCTAATTCTCTTTATCAACCATCCAAACATTGACAAAAAATGAACAATCCCAAATCTTTGCCTCTTCTATTCAAGAAAGTCGGGGTAACATCTCATTGGGCATTCTAGTGACCCCAACTTTCTTGAATAGAAAATGCAAGAATTTGTGACCAAGGTTCAAAAAATCGTTACGTATTAAGCCCTTCCCGATACACCCCTACAGGGGTTGTATCGGGTCATGGCTTGGTTCAAAGGGTAGTCGGGACTTAAACCAACCCCTTTGAACCAAAATCGAAAAGAATAAGTGAAAGTTAAAAAAAGGGACCAATATTCTAGTGCCCTTTGTGTCTACATCGTACTACACCGTACTACACTCGATATGTATTTGTGTCTTTTCAAATGCCACTTAACGGCTGATTAACGGGCTGATTAACGACAAATACTGAATTGATACGTTTTAAAAAATTGAATCCTAAATTATTGCATTTTAAAGTTCAGGAACCAAAATGACACTAGGCCTAAAGTACAAGGTACTAATCCAGGACATATAATAGAAAGCCTAAAATAGGCGCATAGGGGATTCAAGTGTTCAACATTGTGTTGGAGAGAGTCAGAGGAGGGGCAAATTTATATGGCAAACTGTATTTACTAGTGTGGGGGATTTCCGGATCATGGGGGCCCATGACTCGCCTGGTCCCTGAGTTGATTGGTGATAGTTGTTCTGATTATCGTAAACAAATAAGAACATTCTAGTAATTGGAGTGAAAAAAACTAGATTAACCCAAGCCGAACCCAACCCTAAATAAGATTGAGGGATTTAATTATTCGGGTTGGATTAGGGTTGCAGCAAGGTCCGCAACCCGATTAAACCGGCCCAAATTGCACCCTTTTCATCGGGCTCGAATCCGAGTTGTTTTTTACTTTTTTTCCTTTTCCTTCTCTTCAATAATGCTGGTCGTTCGAACAGGGGGACCAAACGAGTCCTCGATTATCCTCTCCACTTCTCATCTGTCATCTCCCACTCGAGTTCGGAACTTCGGATTATCTTGTTTTGTCTTGTTGTCTTCTGCACTTTGGCATCATATGTAGATATCGGCAGGGTCTGACGAAAAAGAGAAGCAGAGTTTGAATAATCCCGACAAACGAAAATCGCTGTAATGGGGAGCCACGGCCACCTTACGGATGCGCCCCCTCCGCGGCGGCAAACCACCCCTCCTTCTCCCGGTGATTCCTCTCTCTCTCTCTCTGTGTGTGAGTGTGTGCGCGCGCGCGTCTCTGCCTCTGTAATTTCATGAACTTCTGTAATCCACCCCCTTAAAAAGCACTCCTTAATTTCGAGAAACAAAGAGAAATAAGAGGGTTATGTGTATGCACGATATTCTTTTTTTTGTGTTTAATCTGCGCTTCTACTGGTTCATTCTTCTATTCTGTCTATGTTGTTAATGAAGTCGAAGTTAAGCTCAATCAACATGGTTTTCAATTTTAGGGAAAACACCCTGGCTTTTCTCTTACACCCATGTTGAAGGCCTTATATTGGTGTTCTGCTGACACGTTACTTGGCAAGATTGTCTGCCAAACGGTTTCTTGATCTTGGAACCTAAATGACTCCCATTTCTCTTGCAAGATCGCTAATTTCTCTCATTATGTGCCGATACTTCCATGGTCCCTAATGCTTGTTCTTGAGTCAGTCTATAATGGTTTTCGGATCCGCTTCTACATCCCACTTGGTTATAGTTTTGGCTTCTTCCTATTCTAAGGCCATGGAGTACAGCCAGTAATTCCCCTCTAATAGAGTTCTCATGGCTGATTTTCCTGTATAGATTGCTGCAATTGTATCATCATGGTGTCTAGAAACATTACCTATACCTGATTGGCCTGGATTTTCAAAGCTACATACACCCATCAAAGTTCAGTTTAATGCTACCTTCCAGGAGAGGCAACCAAGAGGAGAGAAAGGTAATAACTTGCCAACCTCTAAAAAGATTATTTGCCGAGTAGGGGTGGAAGATTGGTAAAGTTTAACCTAATGGATCACTTTGATCAAGATATTTTGAATCAAACGTTCTTTAGGATGGGTCTCTTCTTTGAATAGCTCCGCATTCCTTTCTTCTCAAATAGACCATAAGATAGCAGCTCTAGTACTTCATATTATTTTTCCTCTTTTCCTAGGAGAGGAGTGGAGGGAATCTTCAAATGAGCAGCACACATCCCCCGAAGGAGTCCACCTACATCCAAAGAATGCAGAGAAATACTCCTAATACTTGAGATATAATTACAGGAGATTAGTAGACATAATATCTGCCAGGACTGCCATGGAAACTTCTTATTTCTAATGCTGAAGTTTAGATGCTATCCTGTCCACTCCATAGCTGGGACCAACATTCAGTAATTTCCCATTGGCAATCTGCTGCTGCTCTTAGACCAGTTCTCAATTATGATGGTACTGATGGAGACGCCTAGAATGGATTACTTCATTAAAGTTGCTGGACCTAAATTTCCATAAACAAATTGGCAGGAGTAGATGTGCAATTTGCATGTTATTGGAAGTGTAGCATATCTAACAGTTTGTGAGCCTTTTCTGATGCTTTGCAAAAATTTGAATATGAAGATGCTCAACTTCCAGAAAGAATGGTTGGAACTTGAAAGCTTTCCAGACAAGCAATCTGGTTAAAATTCTTTTTTTTTTTTGATAGTTCAATTTGGTTAAAGTTCTTGCTTGATTAAGTTCCAAAAAACTTTACAAATTGATACAAGTACAAAACTCCATAACTACTTTGAACAAGTCGATTTTTTTAAAGAATTTACAGTTTTCTTCCAATAGTTGCAAGTTTTATCCCTCCCTTTGTCCCAAAATCTCCCCATCTGAATATCTCTGAAACTTTCTTATTTCATTTATATTTGTAAATATATTAAATTCTATTTATATTTTGTTTATTCTAGCAGTCAAAACTGGAATCAGAACTTTGAAATTTCAAAAATTTCAATGATATTTAAAATCTTAGTCTGAAATTGTTTGTTAGTAGGATTTTTTTTTTTTTTCATTTTCTTACATTACCCATTTCTACATATTTTCTTCTTTACCTTTTTCTTATGTTTAGATTATTCGCCTGTACACTAGCCGCAAGGGGAGGGTAATACTTAATAAATATAAACTAATGAGAACAAAGCATTAACAATTATCTCATTTAAAAATGTGTTTCTTTTACAGAGGATATTGATTGCAGGATGGAGGGAATAATTATGAGATTGTTAATTAATGTTGCTATGGAAGTCGTTTGAATTTGGTTCCTAAGTCAGTTTTCTCACCCTTTCAATTACATAATTTGGATGCAGAAATGGGTCAAATGGTTTGTGGAACCTGTCGTTGTCTTCTTTCTTATCCTCGAGGTGTCAGATATGTTAAATGCGCACAGTGTCGGACAGTCAATCTTCTGCTAGAAGGTTTGTTAATGTTTGTTCTCCATTAGTTGCTCAACTTTCATGTATCTAATGATCAACTTCTAATAATACTTGTATCAAGCATTTAGCAGTTGTTATGAGAGATGCAAAATTTGTTAGCAATATAAGTATACAACTTCTATCTTGTTTTGGATTAGCAATATGATTTTGCATGATTATCTCGTAGCAGTTACTGTGGACAAGATTGTTTTTAGGGTAAATTGCTGAAACCTCCCCTGAAGTTTCTGACCGTTGCTGAAACTTCCCCTGAAGTTTAATAATTGCAATCACCTCCCCTGAACTTTCTCATACAGTTGCAAGCAGACCCCCTTTGGTAGAATCTTCTAAAAACAGGTATGAAAATGTCCAAAATACCCATGTAGTAACTTTTAACAAAAATGTTTGTTTTCCAAATTTTCTCTTCATATGAATCACTACCCCATACCCTTCGAGTACTTTTTTTTTCTCAAAATTGATTTATTTTTCAAATTTCCCTTCATACCAATCACTCAAAGGTAAAACTGTAACTTTAAATTCTCTTTGTTTTTGTTGTTCATAAAGTTTGTATTATTTTTTTTTTATTCTGTAGAAACTAACCTCAATAGGAATTACGTGGGTATTTTGGACATTTTCATGCCTTTTTTAAGAAGATTCTATCAAAGGGGGCCTACTTGCAACTGTATTTGAAAGTTCAGGGGAGATGATTGCAATTATTAAAATTAAGGGGAGGTTTCAGCAATTTACCCTTGTTTTTATTGTGGAAGAGTTTCCTCTTTGTTTTTACTGTTATGGGCTTTACTTTCTTTTTGCAGCTCATCAGGTTGGGCAAGTTAAATGTGGGAATTGTTCCGTGTTGCTGATGTACCCTTATGGGGCTCCATCAGTTAAGTGTTCTTGTTGCCATTCTGTGACAGAAATTGGGGTATGTGAATTATTCCTTTCAAAACATTATTTATCTATCTGCTAAAGATATTTTAGTTGCCCTTCATTGTGAATATCTATTGCCAGAGGCCTTTTTCCTAACACATTAAGAGGCAGAAAGAGATCGTGTCTTTGTTTTGAATCTGCAGAGTAACTGCAAATATATATGGTACGTTGTAGATTAAAAACAAAGGCAATCTTTTTGCTTGTTTTTCATGCAAATGTTAGAAGGCCTTGGTTGATACATGTAATTTTTCTCTTCTCCCAATATGACCAAAGTGATGAAACTCTAAACTTTGTTGATAAAAAGAAAAGGTGAAGAGCTTGAGTAGTACAATACTGTGACTGTGGAAACTTCTTGATGAATTCTGTATTTTAAAAATTAGAAGTGTGACTAAAACAAGGGTTTCCTAGAGTCTGTGATACAAGGTGATTTGTGCACCTGAATGTAGCAATGTTCTGTGTTTTTTAAGGGAAAAAAAAACGATATGTTAAGACAAAAAAACTCAACTCGAGCTTTAACTAACCATGACTATTTGGAGTTTTCTACACAAATCCTGCCCTGCCATTGTTCTCTATTATGGATATGTTAAATCAAAAGAAATAGAATAAAATGTCTATTTCCTAAGTTTTAGTCAAAATAAAAGTTGTTTAGGAATCAGAAAGTAATTAGCAGTTATAGTCATATTCTAAGTTTGATTTATCAAGTATTTCTACATCCTAAATGTGGTCAGTAAATATAGACACACTTTTTGTATTAAAGAAGTTTTTTTAATCAATATTTGTATTAAAGAAGTTGATTATCAGGATCTGCTTGTTATGTTGCTAGGGTGTGACTTGTTATTTTATTGGAGGAGCCACTTCGTGCAAGGTTAGGTCCTTAGCAAGTCTACCCCTCTCAAGACCCTAGATAATAGCTATGGGCCTGGGATTATCATCGGGTAATGGTCAGAAAGGGTCTAATACTAAGTTTTTGTGATTCATACACTTTGTTTAGGGAAGAGAGGTTTCTCGTATAACCATTTAACTGTTGACCTATTCTTTGTCATTCTGTTATTCAACCTTTCACATGAAGGCTTTGTTGTGTTGGGTTGGGTTGAATTAGGCCTGTCAATGGTATCCGAGAATTTGTGACCCAATTCGGTATCCAATTCAATTGTCTCGGATTTGGATGAGCTAAATAAGTCATTGGATCGGATTTGGATGGTGCAAATAGCATCTGATTAGAAATTGGATCGAATTCGGGTGTACCACCATCCAATCTGATAAAGATCCGACTCCTGGTGATTTTATATTATTAACTTTTATATATGATATGTATATGTCATAAGGGTAAATGAGGAAATCCTCTTCCCCAATACCATTAAGCATTGTCTACCTTTAACTGAAGATTTAAACCCTAATCCTGGTTTTCCTTTGAGTCCTGTCCCAACCCCTGCTACCTGCCATAAAACAAATGCCACCAGTCAAGTGTCGCGACTTGTGAATGGTGAACTGTTGTTGATGGATTATGCTCTTCTATTTCCCTTCTCTGAGTCCTCTCCCAATCCTTGCTGTTTAAAACAGTTGTTGCCAACCAACCGTCGTTAATGGCGAATTGTTAATAATAGACCAGCACTCTTCTATTTTCCTTGATTTGAACGGTGTCTTTTCCCTACCGCTGCTACTTGTTTGGTGCCTTTCGCTGTCATTGTAACTTGCAAGTAAACCCTTGTTGTCTATGGAATAAAGGTAACAAATTCCACAGTTCCATGCTCTGTTATTAGTTTATCTCTTGTGCTTTTTGTTTTTGTTTTTTTTTTTTTTTTTTTGAGAAAAGGTTAACTTTATTTGATATAAAAGAGGTACATGAGGAGATGCACACAACATTTAAGCACTCAGAAAGTTACATAGGCAGAAAACTATCACTAAATAGGTAATCCCTGTGAGCACCAGATTTAGCTAGACTGTCAGCTTCAGAGTTTATCTCCCTCGGAATCCAGACCAATGAGCATTTAAAGAAGAGAGGTTGTCTTTCGCTTCAGCCAGGTAGTGAGCTAAGGCCCAAGGCCCACTGTCAGGATTAGAAAGCCAATTAATGGTGTTGGCTGAATCTCCTTTAATGGTAAGATTTAATATTTGTTTTTGTTTTTTGTTTTGTTTTTGCTGTTTTTTTTGTTTTTTATTTTTTGTTTTGTTTTTGTTTTTGTTTTGTTTTTGTTTTGTTTTTGTTTTTGTTTTTTGTTTTTGTTTTTGTTTTGTTTTTTTGTTTTGTTTTGTTTTGTTTTGTTTTTTTTTTGGCGTTGAAAGTCCTTTCTGCATTTTCTCTGACCTCTATCAAGTATCAATCCTATGATTTCAGTTGGAGTTTCCCACTTTGAATTTTCTATCACTTTCATTTGATCTGGTATGTTAAATGACTGGAAAATAATAAAGTAAAAAAAATCCCTCTATTTTCTTGAGCAAATTTTTCTCATAAATCCAACCTTCTTTTATGTTTTTGATTTTTAAAGTCTTCAACCCCTTATTTTTAGGTTCAGTTTCAATTTTCCTACTCTAAACTTCAATTTGCAAGAGCCCTATCGAAGTCGGATTAAAATCCGAAATCCTAAAATCCAATCGGAGTCGAATTCGAATCCACTAACCATACATCCGATCAGACTCAGATGCTAGGAATACTCTGTTGGATCAAACTTGGATTTAGCTACATCCAATCCGAATCTGATCCGATTACAGGCCTAGGTTGAATGCCCTTTTATATTACTTCTTAGACATTCGATCATCCCAAGAAAGTTTTGCTGAGTTACTCTTGAGTCTTGATCAAACGTCATGAGTTGAGACTTTAAAATGAAAACCACAACTTTGGTATGTCACTTTTTGTGGGTTGACAGTATGGTTTTGCCTAAAACATGTTGGCGAAACCTAGGCCAACATATCTTTGGGGGAAGAAAACATGTTGCCAAAGAAGCTAGCATCTTGGAATAGGAGCTACTTATCTTTGGGGGGAAGAATTATGCTTATTAGGTCTACACTTGCCGACCTGTCAGTGTATTTTTTGTCGGTGTTTAGGATTCTTGAGGGGGTTAACAAAAGAATAGAAAAATTGATGAGTGACTTTCTTTGGGAGCCAGGTGAGAAGGAGCAAGGACCATAGAGTGAGGTGGTTAGCAGAAGCAAGAAGTTTGATGGATTAGGGTTAAGGAACATCTAGAGAAGGATGTTGCTTTGTTAGGGAAATGGCTGTGGAGATTACCTATGGATAGGGACAAGTTGTGGACAAAAGTAATTATTAGTATCCATGGGCTTGCGGTTGATGGTTGGGATTCCCGGATTTTGGCTAGGGCTTCTAGAGCTTCTCCGTTGAAATCCATCCATGTAATTTCACCATCTTTCTTATCATTTTTTAGGTATAACCTTTGCTCTAGAAATCTAGTCAAATTTTGGGAACATGTGTGGTTGGGTAATTCACCTTTGAAGGAGCAATTCCCCTTTTTTATGCCATTTCCAACTGTGGGGATGATTGGATGAGCCTATATCTTCTTTCATTGTGCCCTCTAATTCATCGTTTGGGTTTGACTGGGACTTGGGAATCAGGAGTGGGCTCAATGAATTGGAAATGACTGTTGTCTTGTCACTTCTCCATAGGTTGGAAGGGGTTTTCTTGGATCCCACTAAAAGGAATAGTCGAATTTGGACTCATTCTTCTTCTGAATCATTTTCTTGTGCCTTTTTTTCTCTCATCCTTAGTATTAGGGGTGAACATGGGTTGGTTCGGTTCGGTTCGGTTCGGTTCCATGGCAGAACTTGAAACCTACCTTGTAGGGGTCGGTTCCAGGTTTCGGTTCTAGGGTTGGTTTTGTCCTTGGTGGTTCGAGGGTCAGTTCTAGGGTCTATGTTATGGACGCCTTCCTCGGGAAGACGTACCATCGCCGCCGGCAGCAACAGGCCCCGGGCCCACCGCTAGCAGCAGCAAGGATTCAGTGATACTCATCCTACCCAGTTCGGCAACAACAGCCTTATCTAGATTAGATTAGCTCATTTTGCTTGTTCTTATCTTATTGTTCTTATCTCTTATCTTATCTTGTTAATAGCTTATCAGATTAGGGTTAGCTTAGCTTATCTTATCTTGTTAGTAGCTTATCAGATAGGATTAGCTTATCTATCCTTAGCAAGATAAAAC